CCCTACATCTGAAGAAGGGTGTTTGTGCCCAAGAGCTTGCAAAGAACAATTTTTCCAACTACTTATGTGGTCTATCACATCTGCTCAAAGAACTCTATCTGCCTAAGACTTGCACAAAACTTATAATTTGATACAAAAAAAAAAAAAATCAGTGGGTTACAGAGGAATTTTTAAACTATGCTGGTTATAAAATGTTCCTTAAAATGCACATTAAACCAATTTTACATAAAGATTCTTCTAACACTAGCAGTTCAGCTCCAGGGAGACACTATGTTGAGAAGATACTCACCATTGTATAGAGAACCTCCTTCAGCATACTCCATAACAAGACACACCTTTGGAGGGGAGGGGACAAAAAACAGGGAAGTTTTAAAGTGCAATGTAGGGGTGGACAACAGGTTTTGTCATCTGAAAGAAAAGTTCATTCAGATGAACTGCAATGTGCCATACCTGAACTCATGGCACATGTATTTACAAGATGCAGACTCAACTTAATACTTAATTCCCATTAAAGGTTAGGAAAGAAGAAATGATGCACTTTTATATAGCCTCTAAATGCAAAAGTTTCTGTAAAATTACAGTTAAAAGGGATTTACTGCTGGAGCGCATTACAAAAAATCATCAACTGAGGCTGCTATCTTTTATTAGATAAAACAAAGGCAAACCATTTAATTAAATAGCCCAGACCAGAATAAAATGCATCTGTTACCCTGCAAATTTCAATCTGTCCTGTTACAGTACCTGCTAAACCACTTGGGTATTAGTGGTGTCAACAGCTATTAATGCAGGGCAAATGACAGAATCCTGAGTTCCATTAGTTTCTGAATGAGGCAGCACTGATTTTTCAGTCATATGCATCATCTTTTGGTTGTTCATTTTTCTTATCACTGATTTGGAATTAATGGGAGTATCCACAAGAGTAAAGTTACGTGTGTGTACACCACACTTGACAATAAAAAAAACAACCCCCCCCCAAAACAAACAAGAAAAACCCCTCAGTGTAGGGAGGGAGAGGGAAAAAAAGACACAATGAAGTGCTAATGCAGGGGTGGGCAAAATGTGGCCTGCTAGGCCATTCTATGCGGCCCATGGGGGCCCTAAAAAATTTAGAGAAGAAATAATTTATCGGCCCCTGGCTGCCTATCATGTGGCCCTTGATGGCTTGCCAAAACTCAGCAAGCAGCCCTCCGTTCAAAACAATTGCCTGCCCCTGTGCTAATGGGTATCGAGAAATTAGTTGGCTTTTTAAATTTACTTTTAAGACAAGCCCAACTACTAATAAAATGACTGCTATTGTATAGCCACAATACTAAAGCATTCTATTTTCTGAATGTATTTTTTGTGTTACTGCTTGCTTATAGCATGTTTTATCAAGAGGACCAAGACTGAAGTAATACAGCTTACTGGATTCAGACAGGCTCCATATAACTTGACTATATTAGGATGATTCACGCGTGACAACTGTCGAAGCTGCAATACAAAAGCTGTATTTTATTTCAAACCATAACCACTCAGAAATTTCCATTTATTCTCAATGTTTATTTTCACATACACCGTTCACATTTAGACCAAACTATACAACCTATATTTATAGGAGGGTTATTAGTTTGGGTTATTATTACTGGTGTTGTCCTTAACAAGGGACACTCCACTTTGCAATCTAACAATATTTGTCACAAACAATGACAGTTGCTTAACATACTACTCTTACTGGTCAAACTGTGGTGTCTGGTGTTCAACCTTGTTAGATAAAAGTAAGTTAAAATTTATATCCCTCCAATGGTGAAATACTGAAAGTATTAATATTTGGAATACATGCAGCTGTAGAACAGAGTATAAATAAAGAGCACCAAACCGCCGATAGATGTGCAGAGAACCTGCTCCGATACGCTGGAAATCCAGCATGTCGGAGCAGACTTGATTAATCGAGCTGCTGGAGCACAGAAATTGATGCTCTCTGGCAGCCATCCATGTCACATGTATCAGTGTCCCCATGAATCCCCGCTGGAAAAAAAATGACAGTGGGGTGCTCTGAAATCAAACATGTTCGATAAGCTTCAGTTGAAAGTGCCCCGCTGCCATTTTTCAGTGTGAGGATGCTGATACACATGATGCTTGGGCACTTTTAATTAGCATGGCTCACTAATTAAAGTAGCCAGCCAAGAGCACATATAAAAATGTCCAAAAGTATTTCAGGTTATAGTCACAATTTTTAAATTTCATCCTTTTTAAAATTATGTCTGCCTTTCGACAATGAAGAACAAGCAACCAGTAATTGGAAGAAATTCAGGATACAAAAGACAGCAGATGCAACCTCTTAAAGAAAAATACTGTACCTCAACAATGAAGGCTTTTCTTTCAGATTCACTTTCTATTTGTTTGATGGCCACATCTTTTCCTCGCCATTTTGCCTTACAGACCACACCAAAGGCTCCTCTTCCAACAACCTACATGAAGACAAGGAAAGTTGCAGTGAAAAAGCAAGAATAATTTTGTGACACAGTACTTCAAAAATATTTAAGACAAAAGGGATGATGTGCCATTGACTTAAATTTTTAGTTTAAAGCAATTCCAGGCATATGGAATTGTATAAATTTACAACAGCACTTTAGTGTTATGTAAAAAAAAAGGTTATAATCAAATTAAAGTTCTATTCCCATTAATGTTGTGGTAGAGTCTCTCCTAGGTTGCTTACAGGAAAAGATAGGAAGCTACATGCACAAAACACTGCAAATCTAGATACAACAGAAAGGTTCGTTTTTAGAAAATAGCATGAACTAACTTCAAAGGAGAATCACTAAAAAAAAAAGAGAGCTAGTACAACTATGAGACTTTTGCTTCTACAAGTTTTGGCAAGTGAAAGCTTATCTTTATAGTACTGACTTTTAGTTACAGAAAGCATGACCATTGATGATGCGTATGTAACCAAACATATGGATATTCTGAAGTTTATGTTGAAGTTACAGTTGCGGCCGAGCATGCACGTTCAAATAACATGGGAGAATTCTCCTGGTAGAGAAACTTACCCAGAGCCAAGTATACAGGCATTCAAATATCGAAGCCCTGAAGAGTGGAGAGCTTGCAATGCTGACACTGTGCAGCCAGGGGGGCCTCTGTGCACACATCTCAGCATGCTCTGTAGGACCCCTTAGTCTACCTGGTGACAGATGGCAGCAGTGCATAAGGCAGCCCTGATTGGTTGACCCAGACTGCCCATGATCAGCCTAGGCTTCCCTGCAGCACAACGTGGGGATTGTGAAAGGGGCATGTTTTGCTCCCTACTGGAGCAGCAGAGTCCAGTAAGTGACATACTGTCTCCCTGAAGGGGAAGGGAGGATACTGGAAACCTATGTTTTCTTCTGAAAAGTCACAGCATGTACAGACATTCAAATTTCCCAAGAGAAACTCTCCTGGGAGTGATTTAACCTTGGTTGTTCCCAGGTTATTTTTCTTTTGAAGTGGCCATTTTTACCCCAGGAGAAAAAGCCGAACATTTGTACATTCATAGTTTCTCTTGGGAAAGCAGTGATACCCAGTTTTGCAGAAGAAACTGAATATCTGTACCAGGCCTAAGTCATGGAAGATGCTGTAGGCACATGGGATTTTCAAAACATGTTGCAACAATGTTCTAACTTTATATGAGTTTTTAGGAGTTTGTTAAATGTATTTTCTGGATAAATTGGTCAAAAAGAACTTTTCCACTACAAATTAGTCACTGGGACTGGGGAGGTAGATGGAGATGGGGGCAGCTAATTAACATATATTCCTAATGCTAAAGCAATGCAGATGGTACCAGCTCTCTGATGTATTACTCTCTAGGACATGAGTATCAAAACTCATCCAGCCCACAGGTGTGGGGACAGCCTGTGAGCTAGATCAGAACCACAGGGCCGGTCTGGTGTGGGCATCCAATGCAGTGTATACTCCAGAGCAGCCCTGCGCACTCTGCACAGCGTGCGCCAGTTCTGGTGCATGGAACCAGTATATGAGGCCAATCTGAAGCCAGTGAACAGGCCAGGTCTAGTTTGTCACTGCATGCAGGTCGTGCTCTAGGACTAGCCTCCTGTGCTACATGCAGTAAGCATGCTGGGTACAACCCTGAGCACTACATGCAGAATGAACCACCCCTGGGGCCAAGCACCTGCTGTACATTAAGCCAGCACAGGGCAGGGGTGGGCAAAATACAGCCTGCAGGCAGAATCCAGCCTATGGAGGGATATTGTCTGGCTCTCAGCAGGCCCCTCAGTCCTGCCTGGCCCAGGCACCATCCAGCCCCGGCATGTTCTGCTGCCTCTGGGTGTGCAATAGGCCTGGCGTGGCTCCATGGCTGGAGTGCATTTCTAGACAGCCCAGGCGGTAATGGCTCCTTCTGGCTGCCGCTGCTGGCCCCAGCCCCATGATACTGGTGGGGACCTGTGCACACAGCCCTGGCCTGGGCCCAGACTGCTCCACACCCACTCTGGACTTGCCCTGACTGGAGCAGCTTGGCTGGACCAGCAAGGGTGGGAGCCTCCTCAATGGCCTAGCAGGTGGGACCCAGCGTGGAAGAGCAGAAAGGGCTGGCGAGACTTGTTGCTGTTGCTGCCGCTGCCAGGACCCCCATGCCAGCCATGCCACCAGCAGCGCAAGGAGTAACAGATGGCGGGGGGGGAGGAAAGGGGAGTTGCGTTGCTCTCGCTTCCTTCTGCCAGCTGCTCACATGCTGGACCACTCTGCCACTATGGTCCGGCTACTGCAGCTGCCCCCCTTAGGCCACCTGCACTGCCCGTCACCCCACCTCTCCTCCAGGATACAGTCGCAGCTTGAGGGGAGCGGCTGTGGCAGGGCCATAGTGACAAGGTACAGCTGCAGCAGGGTGCGCGAGTGGCTGGAGGAGGTGCGGGCAAAGCGCTCCCCCTCCCTCTCATCCATTACTCTTCATGCTGCTGGTGGTGCAGTTGGCATGGGAGTCCTGGTGGTGGTGGCAGCAGCAATGAGTCTTGCCACCCCAATCCACACTCCTGCACTGGGTCCTGCCTGCTGGGCCATGGAAGTGGCTCCTGCTTCTGCCGATCTGGCCAGGTTGCAGCCCTGTGCCCACTGTGTGGGTAAAAAAACCCGGGGGGGGGGGAGGGGCATGACCCCCCCATGCAACCCTGATGCATTGTCTTTGCCCCCCAACCCCGCCCAATACCTCATCTATGTTCCCCACTTTCCCATAGACTTACCTGTGGGGAGCTGCTCTCCATGCTGCCTGGTTGTCACAGGCATGTGTGTGCTCCCCTTGCCTGATTGCCCTCCTCCCGCTCCCCCCAGCCATAAATAGCCCCTTGCAAGCTGGAACTCTGTTTATTAGTATGCACAGCATTAACATACAATGAAGCCCAAGTAGCACTTATTTTTTAAAAAATGTATGCAAAATATGATCCACTTTGAAAGTTTGTTCGCGACCCTTTTGTATGTTCTTCATGGGTTGAGAAACGCTGATCTACATGACACCACACTGGTGTGCAGAAATACTTGGGTCAGCTCTAAGTGGGACAGCGGGGGAACTAGAAGCATTGGTCACATTAACCCAGTACTCTACCCAGCAAATATCACTCCACAGGGTGCATCAGACCTGGTAGTGCACCATGCTTATGGTTCTACACCAGAGGTCAGCAACCTCTTAGGAGTAATGGGTTAAATTAATTGGGACTAGTCTGAAGGTGACTCGATGTTTCTCTCCCACTGCCATCGTCAAAGCTTTGTGGGCTAGATAATATCGCTTGGCAGGCTGGATTTAGCTTGTAGGCTGTAGGGTACCAATCCCCAATACTGGAACATCATGTTTGAAACAGTAATAACATGACAGCTACATATAACTTAAAAGGTACATTTTAAAAACAAATTATTCTAAATGAAGCTTTGAATAAAAGGAAGTGCTGACTAAAAATACATGATACTGGCTTGATACATGGCTTATATATAATAAACCACACAATCCTAACCAGATCTTAGTGCTAAAGATTGATAACATTTAGTCTTTTAATAAAGAATATTCTGAAGGCTAAATATGCAAAACCAGAAAACAGGAAAAATAAACAACTACTTGGATCCCCAAGATCTCAAGTCTATGGGAAATAAAAATAACATTAATCTATTTCTGCACTGTATCATCTGAAAACACACACATTTTATCACTAAAAAAATTCAGAATTTTCTAACAGGTTTACTAGAGAATTTTCCAACAGGCACAATTCTTCATTTCACTTACTAGACAGCTATCTAAAATATTGTTTATTCTAAGAAGGCCTTGTTAGACACAAGAAGGAACAATAAAATGGAGCTCCTTCCTGGTTAACAGCTTTAGTATTTTTTGTAGAACTATTACATGCTACAGTATCCAAAAAAGTATACACCAAATTATTAACAATATAGGGGAATGACAGGTCAGTAAATAAAAACCACAAACCAATCAACCCACCCACACTTCCCCATGGATATGTGGTCATTAAAATGTAGTATTGTTCTCATATCCATACACATACTAGAAGTGAAAGGATCAAACTGTTCTGAATATTTCAGAGCTTCAAATGTAATCAAAGACACTGGAAAATTTGAAGACATACAGATACTTTGTGAAAAACAGTGAATAAAAGTTTTAGAAACAATTACCTATCCTACTTCTCTTCCATTTCCTATATCTTACCACAGTTCCTGTTGTGCCAAAAAACATAGTAACAGTATTTCAATATACTTCTACAAACTCTCTACATGCAACAAAGGTAACCAAGAAATGCATAGGTTCTTTAGACACTACTGCAGACAGCCTAAAACAGGGGCAGGCAATTATTTCGGGTGGAGGACTGCTTATCGAGTTTTGGCAAGCTGTCAAGGGCTGCATGGGTAGCCCCACCCCTTGACAGGTGGCCTTCCCCCTGGTCACCATCTTGTGACTGGAAGTCCTGCTCCCTAACCCCTGACCTTTGCCACCAGAAGTCCCTCCCCCTTGCCCCTAGAAGTACTCCTTTCAGCAAGGGGTTCTGCCATCTCAGAATCGGAAAAATAAATGTTGTAGATGTTCAATTTTTAGAATATCAAATTATATTCTAAAAATTGAACATCTACAACATTCATTTGATTCCAAAAAATATTTTTGTCCTGATTTACATGCGTTTGTGTAGCGTACACAGAGGTGATTGCACAATAGCTTAAAATGAAGTCATACT